CAGCACTATGATAAATGGAGAAAAGAATGAGGTTGTTAACAATTACAGCTTGCTTGTTTCCACAGTCAACACTCTTATCACCAGCAGTGAGGAAATCAAAAGACAAATTGCATTGGGAAAATCTGCTTTTCAAAAAAAAAAAAAAAAAAAAAGGTGAGGGATCTCTCCAGAGTACTGGAAAGCAACAATGTCAGTCTAGAGACTAAGGTGCACCTAATCCAGCTCATGTTGTTGTTGTCTTTGATTGCCTTCAAGTCGAGTATGGCTCATAGCTACCCTATGAACAAAAGGTCTGAAGCCCTCTACAACTATTGGCAATTATCAAAGTTCATAAAGTTTCCAGAGGCATGTTAACTAGGAAATGGATGCCACTCCTGCTTCCAAAACAATAGTCGTCCAGTTACTTACTATGCATCAAAGAGCTGGATAATGACAAAGGATGAGAGTTGTGGTGCTGGAGAAGAGTCTTTCTTGAACATACCATGGATTGTCAAGAAAATAAATAGGTTTGTCTTGGAGAGGGTGAAACTAAGTTTCTCCTTGGAGGCTAGGATTTTGAAGCTCCAACTCACATACTTTGGGCAGGTGGCCAGGAGAGACTGGTCCTTAGAGAAGATCATCATGCTCAGAAGAGTTGAGGGACAGCACAGGATAGGAAGACCCCAGATGAGATGGATTGATACAGTGACTAGAGCAATGGGGGTTGGTGTGTCAGAATTAGTGAGAGTGGCTCAAGACGGAGCAGGGTTCAGAGCTGCTGTACATAGGGTTGTTATGAGTTGCAGGTGACTTGATGGCACATAACAACAACAACAAGCAACATGTCCAAAATATTAGAGAAGAAGCTTTGCTATCTTTGCCTCCAAGGAGCACTCACTACAACTTTTCCAAGACATATATGTTTGTTTTTTTAACTGTCCACGGGATATTCAGTACTCCTCTCCAACAGCACAGTTCAAAGGTATTGATTCTTCTTCTGTCATTATTATTCATTGTCCAGCTCTCAGCAGTATAGCAAGTGATTGAAAAGACCATGGGGGGGGTGGGGTGGGAAAGACCATGTCCTGAATCAGGTGCCCCTCAGTCCTCAAACTAGCATCATCGCTCCTCAGGCCAACCAGATAAAAAATAAACTCTTTAAGTAAATTTCATTTTAAAACCCACAGCCTTAAATCCTCTGCCAGCATATTGTTTCAGGTACCTAAAGTCACACAAAACGGTGACTAGGATCCAATATGCAGCTAGTCAACATGAATGAGTATAGCACACTTTATTCTGAGTGAAATAAGAAACAGTCACAAAAGAACAAATATTATATAAGCACACTGTTATAAAAAATAGAGAAAGATCAGTCTAGTATGAGGGAGGAAGTAGTAGAAAAATTAATGAATAGACAAAGAACACCATATTGAAATGAGTGGTAGGAAGGACAGTGTGTAAAGAATGGACAATCAGACATTGTGGTATCAGTCTTCTCTTTCTGACTGATTAAAACTAGAATTTTCTTTCCTTTTTTTTATGAATCCAAATGTTGAAGGTCTGAAAGAATGAATCAGACAATCTACAGCCTACTGTCAGACAACTATGAAGATCAGTTCTTTCTGCTCAGGAAGAGAGAGCTGGAGGTGTCAACAGACACCTTCTGTCTAGAAACTGTCATCTTACCAACCATACCTCTCTCACTCACTGGCAATACCATAAGGAAGAGCTTTACGTGATACATGTTTTAGAGAATTTTAGGAAATGAATTAGCACACTTGACACATCTTTCCTGCTTCGAAATAAGATGAATATGAGCTTTTTTGTAAAAGTTTTAGTCAAGAAAATGAATTTGTAAGCTGAACTTTATCCCTTTTAATCAGAAATATCATTAAAGTAACAAAAATAAAATACATTTATAATGTGAAAATAGTTCTGTCCTTTGCCCACCTTCAAAAACAGTGGCCTCTGTTAAGCTTACATTGACATAAACTACACGGGAACTAGTAAATCTCTATAGTTTATTTTTTATTTTTTGCTTTCTTTCACCCATTATTCTATAACCAAACAACCCTGCGCTGGTGTCTCTAGTCTACACTATTTCCACTACAATTATGACCACTACTTACACTTTCATGTAGCCTTTTAAACACCTTATTCCTGGGTGTAAAATCCATAGAACCAGGCCTGAAAAGTCCTAAGTAAGTGCTCAAAAGCATTAAAATTAACTTCTACCTCAATACAAGTATGGATATTACCTTTTAATACCTTAAAATAGTTTAAATGGAATTTAAACTTAGGTTTAGTGACCATTTACCTTTACTCAAACTTCTTAAAACATTAATTCATACGAGTACTACCAATTCGGATCAAATTTCCACATGTACTAGTTCCCTGAGCATTTTTAATCAATTTAACCTCTCATAAAATGTGGAAGAGCAAAAAAATCACCTTTGTGACTCTTCTTTTTACATGTGCACTCAAATAGTTTATTTCTACCTTTAAAAACATAATAGATGGATATCTATATGCTAGTAGTAAGCAACACCGTGGGCTTAAATCTCCTTTCATTCAACAAGAAACTGCAAAGCATATAATATAAATTATCTATAATTTAATCTTCATCAGATCAATTAAATCAGTGCATTTTCTTGAGGAGGAGTAAAATATTTTTTATTTTAAAACACTATGTTATTTAGTTATAAATTGATTCACTTTTTCCATCTTGTACAGTGAGTGTCTGCTGTGTGCCAGACCTGTTCTGGGTTCCTTCCTCATAGGCCTTACAATCTAAACAGAGGACTTGTTTATTTTAATGATCTCTAGATTCGGTGACTGGGGTAATCGGGATGGGTGTGTCAGAGGCGGTGCGGTTGGCGCAGGATAGAGCAGGGTTTAGAGCTGTTGTGCATAGGGTCGCTATGAGTCGGAAACGACTCGATGGCACATAACAACAAGATTCAAGACATTAAAACAAAAGAATTATCACTCTTATATTCTGAAGTATGTCACTTTCTGACCGTACCACCACTTTCTCTTTATTTATTAACATTCACGGTATCGTTGAAACTCTGAGACTAACAAAGGGTTCTAATTAACTTGTTGGAAAATCACAAATTTTTAGATTAGCTTTAACTGTGCTTAAGATGTGTTTAGGCAGGAGGGGAGAAAAGTACAACAACGAATGAATGGAAATCCAAAGTCTCTAAATTTTCACTGAAATTAATAATAAATTATAAAAAAAAAAAGATGTGTTGGTTGCATAGTGGAGTGTACTCAGGGTGGTGTGGGGGGGGGGGGTTTGGGGGGATTGTATACCAATGAAAGAATTTTTCTTTTACTCTTCAAAGAGAGCAGTGAACTGGGGGGAGAGGGCTGGGCAGGGAGAAAAGTGCAACAATGAATGAACGGAAATCCAAAATCTCTATAAATGTTCATTAAAATTAATAAAATAAAATTTAAAAAATAAAAAAAGATGTGTTTAGGCTTAGCTATTTGAAGTTGAGTCATCACATCTTAAAATTTCCTTTATTTTCAAAAGATAGAACCAAGTTAAGTCTCAAAATTTTCAATTCTGCAAGCTGAAATTTGGTAGGGGGCATTATATAAAATTATTTTATATGATCATAATTTAGGGGTTTGACAGCAAACTTATATAGACCTTTTTACTTATATCATTTGAAGGAAAGATAGGTTTCCTGTTTGAAGATTTATTATTGATCAATCAATATACAAAGTATTGGAGATCAAAACATTTCTACCTTTTATTAATTTTCATTCTTTCTCAGTTTGATTCTTAATATGTCATTATAAAACTCTTATGGGCCTGTGTATAATCATGCCTTCTATAGCTTAGGGTAAGGAATTGGCCCAACGTAAAGGTATGAGGTTCAAATGCACCAGCTGCTCTGTGGAAGAAAGACGGGCAATCTCCTTCTCGTGCAAATTAACTCTCTCAGAAAACCTGCTAAAGGGTCAACTATGGGTCAGTCTCAACTACAACGGTACACAACAATGTTGAAACCAATAGTTTAGATTATTTTAACAGTATTGCTATCAGAAGACCAGAACTAAAGAAATGGATCCAAAAAATATGGATCCGTAGGGATTCCAACTATAATGGAAACCCCCTCCCAAGTTTTTTCAGTATCTCTTTATTTCATATACATCAAATTTCACATGTGTTAAGACATGCCTTAACTCATACTCGGTGGGAAGATGCATTAAGATGGCTATGTGGGAGCATCATTTGGAATACAAATATGGTTATTCCTCACAAGTGGCTAAAGCAGAGAAAACATTCTTTTCTTATTTTGTCCCCCCTAGGAAAAGCAGATAAAATAAAATACTCTTTTCTTATTTTATTTCCCCCCTTGGAAAGGCCGGCCGGCCGTGTACAGATTCAAAATTGAAAAGCCTCTCAGAGGCCACTTTCCCACCCTCCGCGTAGAACTGACGAGTCTATGCACAGCTCCGCCCCTGTATTGACATAATCTGCCACATCCTCTGAGCATCCACAGCACTGCCTGTAACTAACACATAGGTTCAGGTAGAGAGGTGGACTTGGCCTATCGCTTCTGTTTTTCCACATTCCTCTTCCAAACACCTCATCTTATCTTTCCACTCCTATCTACAAGGAAGGTCAACTCCCTCCCTGAGGACTCCCAGTTATTCCTTTCCATCTTTGATCCAGCAGCATGACAGTGACCACAGGATTTTAGTGCTCTGCACTCCTGCCCCAATCCTCTCCAGCCTTCCAGGCCTATAATACACAGTGTGGCCTAAGGGCTGGGGAAGGGATCTGAGTTGATGGGAACTGAGTAGGGATGGGGATCTTTGAATATAGAAGCGGTTCTTCATCTTCCTCATCTCTTCCTTCCACCTACCACCACCGCAGACCCCTGGGTCCCAAGGCACCTCTGAGCCCTTTCCTTTCCTGCCTCCGCCCCGTCAACAGTCTAACCCTCTTGCCACCCATGGGGACCTTACTCCAAGAGAAATGACAGGGACAGTATCCTTACCAGGCTCATGGACACCTGGGTTGTCAGACAGCTCTATGACCAGAAGCTCCCGGCCTTCGAAACTGCGCCCCACTGTGTAGATCCGGCTGATGGCGGTGCACTGCAGCCACACGGACACTAGAGCCTCGCGCAGCTCAGGGTAGCGGTGGTACTCGAAGGAGATGCCGTCCTCCTGCTGCAGCCGCCGGCGCCGCCTCATACCTTCCGCGGGCGTCTCGGGATCTTGGGCTTCGGCACCCAGCAGCCACGCGCACACGGCCAGTGCCCCGCACAGCGCCAGCAGCCCCCGGCAGCCTCGCCCCGTCATCGCCATCGCCGCACGAGCCGCCGCGGGTCGTGCCTGTCTGAGCCTCTTTTGTCTGCTGGGCGCTGGGGTTCAGCTGGCCGGCAATGCAGAGCCGCTCGCTGCAAGTTCCGCACCAGCCTCCTAACACCTCACCGCCCTGGAGCTGAATGAGTGTCAGTGCGCGCGCTGGGGCCACCCAGAGGAGAGGGACGCTGCTGCAGCTCCGCGGGCTGCACTACCCGCGGCCCAGCCCAGGGGAGCTGCAGGAGAAACCACTGCGTCAAGGGGGCGCGGAGGCGGAGCAGATGCTGGGACTGACTTGAACTGAGGCGGAGGACGCTACTGTAAATCTCAGGGGTTGCTTGCCTTGTTTATTAGCTCAGAACCACGTCAAATGTCAGATGGCTCCGGTAGCGACGCAGGTGAAATGGTCGCTAAAGTCTAGGTTGAGACAGCTGTTGTCATAGGACACTGCCATTGGGGAAAATAACTCCTGGATTGTTAATGAAGCATAAATGAAATGACACCTATGCCAAACTGACTAGGGTTTTCATTTTGATGCACTAAGAATTAAAGCACATCCCAGAATAAAACAAGAAAGAAGGCTTGGAAGCTCATTTCCTTTTCTCCATGATGTGTTTTTTTCGAAACTGTATTGCTAGTCCAAACGCAAACCTCCAAGATTGGGCTTTCATGTGATATGCAAAATCTGGTTAGGAAACAGAATATTGTGAGATTAAGTTTAGAGGTTTAAAAGATTAAAAATGCACTCTATCAACTGGTGATAGGCTTTAGATGTATTTCTATTTCTGGACGCTTCCCAGAATAACAATAGGTAAAGGCACAACAACCTGGTAGTAAGACTGTCATTTGGCCTGTACTGACCTTCTATAAGAATGTGAAGAAAATAGAATATAACAGGATCAGAACAGTACGGAAATCAGAACAGACTCATAGTTAATCCTCCATTGGGTTTTAGATGCTATAAGTAACATAGGAGAAGATTGCCCATCTTTCTCCCACAGAGGCCTAAAACCGACAGAGAGACTCAGCGTTTGAGTTAGTAGCAAAACTCTTTAAGGACTATGCCACCAAAACTCCCTTCTGTAAGGAGCAAAGAATATAAGGGTCTGTATCCGTGGGATGCGGCTGTGTGCCTTGCACTCAGAGGTGTCTTCAGAAGGAAGATTGCAAGCAGCTCTCATGAGGTGCTCTGAGAAGGAAGATTACAAGAAGTTCCCAAACATCTTTAGATACTGACTTTTGTGAGAGTAGAAACAAATGTTCCTGCTCTTGATAGAGTTGTTGCAAAATGAGAGAAAGCACAAAGAAGTCTTGCTTGGATTATGTTTTTTATCTAACTCTGTACCTGGCCCATTCGGGCCCTGTGAGGTAATCATTAATGTTTCCATTTCTCTGTGAACTATTCCTTTGTTTCTGAATGCCAGTAAAAGCAAAGGTTTTGGGGTTTCTCAGGGCTAGCGACCTGAGCGAGCTCTAGCCCTTTTCTGGATTTACATTCTGCTTTGCTAGTCTTCCTTTGGCTCCGCTCATGAGAAACAACACCCTTCTTTCCTTCATAAAGTTTTGTTGTTCTTGTTATGTACCCTCAAGTGACTTGATACTCATAGCAACCATATGTACAACAGTTCTAAAGCCTTACCTGTCCTGAGCCAGTTTCACTGACTACAAGACAGCTACACCCCCTTGTCCTAGTAACTGACTCAATCCATCTCATCTGGGGTCTTCCTCTCCTGTGCTGTCCCTCCAACCTTCCGAGCATGATGTTCATCTCGAAGGATTGGTTCCTCTTGCCACATGCCAAAAGACAGAGCTACAAAATGCTAGCCTCCAAGAAGAAACCTTGTTTTACTCTATCCAAGACAGATCTATTAGTTTTCTTGTCAGTCCAAGGTGTGTTCAAGACTCTTCTCCAGTACCACAATTCAAAGGCATCGATTCTTCTTCTATCCTCCTTAGTTATTGTCCAGTTCTCTGATGCATTGCAAGTAATTGTGAAGACCATGGCCTACATAAAGTTCACCTTAGTCTCTAGACTTACACCATTGCTTTTCAGTACTCTGTAAAGATCCCTGACAGCAGATTTACCGAATACAATTCATCTTTTGATTTTCTGACTACTGGTGCAAACCAAGCTGTGATTGTTAACAACCTCAGTCTCTTCTCTGTCTATCATGGTGCTGCCAGTTGGCCCAGTGGTGAGAATCTTTGTCTTCATGATGTTTGGCTTGAATCCACATTAAAAGACTACAGTTCTTGACCTTCTGCAGGAAGGGCTTCAGGTCCTCCTCACTTTCAGCAACGAACATCGTGTCATCTGCAAAACATAGGTTACTGATGAATCTTCCTCCAATTCTGGTGCTATATTCCTCCTCATAAAGCTCTGTTTCCTGAATTATCTGGTTTGCACACAGATTGAAATACTATGGTGATAGGATGCATCCCTGACACACATCTTTCCTGGTTTGAACCATGCAGTGTTTCCTTGCTCTGTTCTGAGGACTCCTTCCTGGTTCAAGTATAGTTTTTGCATAATAAATATAGAATCATTTACAGCTCTAACTGCACAGCCTTATGACAGGATTTACATTCCTGAAGCAATATCTGGATCAGAAATTATTCTAAAGAGGCTGTCATTTGGATTCAAGAGTCCTACAAATCCAAAGAAAGACATAATCTACTGGGTATCCAACCAAGCAGAAAAACTGGAAATGCTGAGGGCAGTATCTCATGTGGAATAATTTTTTTCCCCAAAATTTTTCCTTCTTAGTTTGTCTGCAAGACATTGCATTGAATAAAACATTTTCGTCTGAACAGTTATACAGGTGTTTAATGAGTCAAAAACAAATGCGCAAACATGGTGCTTTTAATGAGGTGCTCTTTTTGATAGGCTTGCATCCAAACTCCTCTGATAGTATAGCATGCATTTCTCACAGTATAATGAGTAATTTTTTTTTTTCAGGACAAAGATGCCACTACGAAGACACGCTGCTCAGGTGAACTTGAATCCAATCATTCCCCTCGCCAAATTGTTGTTTTCCACTATGGCAGTCTGTATTTGATTACATGGTTCAGAAGTTTGCAGTCAAAGCTATAATTACATTTCTAAATTCATGTCCCAAAAAAGCAATCTTATGAAGCCAAAAAAAGAAAACAGGGTAGCTCAAACCAATAACATCAGAAGTAGAAAATTAAGATTTTCATGTTAGCAATCTAAAGTAACCACACTAATTTGAGAGACATTGACTAGTAACTACACACATAAATAGCATAGTATTCTTTAAGTCTTGTCCCATAACTTGTCTTTCTGCTTAAAGGGTATGTTTTCTTTTTACCCGTTAATCTCAAGAATGTATTTTGGATTTGGTTTTGTCTTTTGCTTTAATTAAAGAGTAAAATTGTTCCAGTTGTGTGATCTCGCTTGTAAAGCTCTCATTCTATATCTGAAATGTTTGTTTCCCTTATTTATAAAATTAAGCACCTTGATTTATTCCTGGATTTATGATTACTTATTCCTTATTTGGGTGCAGTGGAATCATCTGGGGAGATTATGAAATTATCAAATTCAACAAAAACACTAGGTATTTCAAATTTTGACATTTTATTGTTATACTCACCCTGGTAACTTAGAGTTGCTGTGATGCTGAACACTGTGCCATAGTCGTGTCAAATACCATAATGGTTACCCATCACGGACAGTGTTTGGAGGAGCTTCCAGATTGATTCAGGTTTGGAAGCAGGAGTGACATCCACTTCCTAAACCAGATACCTCTGGAAACTCTACGAACACAGAGAAATTATGTTAATTATAGAACAAAGTTCAGGTCTTTTGTTCATAGGGTCACTATGAGTCATATTCAGCTTGATGGCACTTAACCACTGCCAAGTGAGACTAATGTTGCTGCTGTACTGAGGCAATCTGGGTTTGCTGTGATGCTGAACATTGTGCCATTGGGGTGTCAAATGTCATAATGGTTTTCCAATGTGGACAGTTTTAAGTGGAGCTCCCAGTTGTGAAACAGGTTTGGAAGCAGGAGTGGCATCACTTCCTAAACCACATGCCTATGGAAACTCTATGAACTTAGAGAAACAAAGATAGTTATAGAAAGGCATTAGGTCTCTTATTTGCTATGAGTTGTGCTATACTCAACGGTAATCAAAAACAACAACAAAAGATTGAATTCGCTCCTAAAATATGTGTAGGGAACTCAGGTGACATGGTCCATGGGAAGTTGTACTGCTAACTCAAAATATCTGTCTGGAAGTTTGACTCCAGAGGCAATTCCTTGGGATAAAGTTCAGCAATCTCCTCCTATGCTAGTTGTTATTGTTATGTGCCATCAAATCAACAGCCTATGCTATTTATAGCCTCAGAAAAGCAATGAAGAGTCAACTATTAGTCAATTCAAACTCAGTGATAATGAGTTTGAATAATAAGTTTAAAATATATGTTGAAATCCATCCTGTTTTGAAATAAGACCTTCTTTGTATACTAATGAAGCCATTCTCAAAGCAGAGTGTGTCCTAAACCTAATCACTGCTAAGCTATAAGAAAGACTTCAGTAGATGCAGATGGTATTGCTGTTAGGTACCATTGGGTCCAGTCAACTACCACTCCTAGCAATTCTATGAACAATGAATGTGAATTCTGTCCTGTTCTGAACCATCCTCATCATCTCTGATATACGAGACCACTACTACACTCATTAGATCAATCCATTTCATTGAGGGTCTTCCTCTCTTTCACTGATCCTCCACCTTCCAAGAACGATGCAGATCTTTTTCCAAGAACAGGTCCATCCTTACAACATGCCAAAATATGTGAAAACAAGTTTCACCATCCTTATCTCCAATGAGCATCTGATGACACTTTCTCCAAAACATATTTGTTTGGCAGTCCATGGGATATTCATTACTCTTCTAAAACACCACAGCTCAAAAACACTGATTTTTCATATGTCATCCTTATTCATTGTCCAACTTTCAGATGTGTAGCAAATAATCTTAAAAAGAATGGTTTAAGTTAGGACACCTGAACTTAGTCTTTAAACTGACATTATTGCCCTTTAGCACTTTGGATCAGTCCTTGACAGTAGATTTTCCCAATGCAACATGCCTTTTGATTTCTTTTTC